TGCTGTGAATCCAAGAGCGCTGGGCTGGAAATCACAAACACTCATCAGTTTATGCAAATCACTCAGTGTAACTTCATTTCCATAAACAACTTGGACCACACTCGTCTTTTGGCTCCTTGGGTTTCTGGCTGTTAAGTCATTGAAGCCAGATGGCTTTAATTCAAATAGAAATGTATTTTAAATATATTTGTTTACCACATGTGTGTAAAGTAGGGCTGTTAACGTTAATGCGTTAACACATGCAATTTATCTGAGTTAACATTTAAAACCTTCCTATTTCCTTTTGCTGTGAAAAATATCACCTTTTGTTCGTTTATGTCCCAGTGACGGCACTAAAGCTATAATTTTAATAGGGTGTGGTCTGTAAATCTCTATCGTTTCCAGGAATCGAATGTATCAACCGTTCACACACCGAGATTGGCTGGTATACACACGGTCCAACACACAGAACTTCTGCAACAATCCCCCATATCTTTTTTCTTTTTATAAAAGCAGTAAAATACTCACTGGATGCCAGGAATTTGACAGGGTTCAGACTGTGACACATTCTGAAGGGACAGAAAATGACAGCAAAGGCAGTGAGTGGATCCCACAGAGATCTGAAGAATCCTCACATCCAGTTTCTACCTTTTTGCAGTCCCAGCTCTGCTTCTGTCCATCTTCATCAACCTCTTGCTTAAGGACTCCAGACCCTGGCACAGTGAGAAGGAGAACTGGACCGATGGAGACAGAAAACAGTCCTTTCAGTCTCTTTGCTGCACAGACATCAATTCTATTTCATCTCATAATAAACTAGAGCACATCAGCTCATGCTAATTGTGATGCACTGATATTTAGATAAAAAAGAAAGTAGATCACTGACATAAAATAAAAGTAAAAAAAGTACAGGTGAAGCAGAATGTGTGATAAAATCACAAAAGATGATGAATGCAGTTTCATCCCAAGATTCTAAATGAAAAAAAAAAAAAATAGCCATTATCAAGAACATTCATCAGCCAGCACATGTTCCCACCAATCAATTTTCCTTCTATGCCTTCAAAGCAACATTCAGACCCTTTCATCAAGCACTGCAGGGCACTCGACTGAACCATCAAGAGAAAGTAGCAACACAGCACACAGAGAAACAAGATCACAACAAAACAGCCGTCCACTTCAGATCATACGCACACGCCTCATTAGGAGCACAAACTAATTGATTAAAGGCAGAGCTAGCAAACAACTTGCTCTACATACAGTGACTTAAACCAGTTTAGGACACCAAAACGTTCCTTTATCCATGGTAACTCAAAAGAGAAGTATGATTAGCGTCACCATGTGCTGTACCTCGTTTTGGCTGAAGTTCCTGAGAGCCTCCAGTGAAGGAGGCGAGTTGTGCAGGAGTCAGAGTGCTCTGATGCAGGGCTGAGTCTGAATTTGTCCTGCAGGAAACAATGCATACAGTGAAATGTAGGAAATAATCTAGATAACAAGCAAGTCAGCATGTGAATATGTTATCCATAATGTTGTGCATGTTTACTCTTTGAAAGAACAAAATTTAGTTCTCAAATGTAAAAGCCATCCTGCATGAGGAAAAGTGGGTCAGAGAAGAAGATAGAAATAAGAACCTTCTCCCCCAACCTACCGTGTCTGCTAGCTGAGATTTGACTGAAACATGCTTCTGCAGGCTTCATGCATAGCTTTGTGTGCTACTGAAAAACACAGGAAGAGTTTGAAATATTTGTGATTAAGCCTCAAAACGTAGATTTATGTAGTAGTTTGGAGTAAATAGCTGCATTTCTGTTACAAATGTGTGTAAAAGTATGTTAATATTCTACTGATGTAAAAAAACAAAAAACAAAAAACAAAAAAAAAACACATTGGATGCATTTCTATTAAATAAGAAAAATCACATGTGAATTAAGGTTGTTCACACATTAGGTCATTAAGAAACATGCTGTGCCATCATCCTTAAACTACTTCCTGTCATCGTCTTTTTTGTGGTTTGCACCACAGTCAACATCCACTTGTTGATCATGTGAATTTTGTGATTTTGTGTTTTTTTAAAAGGTTTTGTTGGCTCTGGTGGCCTTTTGTAGAAAGTAGTTTGACAGGAAAGAGAGTAATGAGACTACCACCACAAAGACTAAGGCCAGCATACGTGGGTCGTGCTTTGCCGCTGCGCCACCACAGCACCCCATGATGCCAAATTTTAATTTAAAAACAAGTTTTTCAAACTCCATTAAGCAAATTTATTTTCAACATGTCAAATGGCGTAATTGACATATTGCAGTCAATGGAAACGCAGCTAGAGAGAAAATTATCACCAAAGATATTTGGTATAGTATAGCTCTATATGACAGAGATGTGATATATAAGGGTGCACCAAAAAATTAGCCCCAATTTCCTTAATTCGGGGAGATTAGTGATTGGCCAATACTTACATGAGAAACTGATATCATCCACTGAGCTTATTTACCTCCACAAAGATTAGAAAATCAACCACTGTCCCCTTTTCAATACCCATGACAGAGGGCTAACTGACAGACCGCCCACCAGGACACATCTACACACGTGTACTTAACTCCAGTCACTCCACTCTTGTCAATTTAGCATTTTTTTTTTGCTACATTTAACAGGTTTTCAGAAAAAAAAAAAACAGTGTAGTCCAAAATCAAAATCAGCAGGTTAGGCTTGTTAAAGATCGGCCTGAAAAACTGCATTTGGTGCACCTCTTAAATATTTACTTATTTACGCTGGTCATTTCAAATTCAGTGAGATGCACCTGCAAAGGAGCTCTTAGATTATTTTGATATTGTCTGTTTGAATCAGAGGGATTTCTTTTTTTGTTGTTGTTTTTTTAATATGGCTTTCTGTCCAGGGTGGCACAGTTTAGTGAGTGCCACAAGATTGAAAGAAGTTATTTGACATCAAAAATGACCTGAAATGGCTGACCCTTAAGTAGATATCTGATTTCCATCTTAGAAGCTGAAGCTAGGTTACAGAGTTTTTGTGTGCTTTAAAGCAGCTCTGGCTGCATTTGATAATATACATTGAAATTCGAAATATCTTAGATGTTGACTGAACACTGACACGGTGATTCAGGGATTTGACCCTGGTGTGTGGACCAGGTAATAAAGTTACCCCTGGTATAGAGCATGCCTCCAGTCCAGTCTCTGTTCAGAGCTCAAAGAAAGAAAATCAGATTTTACTTATTCTTTTGCCTCTGAAACAGATAAACATATTTCTTTCAGCTTAGACCTTCAGTGTTAAATGTGTACATAAAAGTTTTTATTTATGATTGTATATATAATGATGACAAGCATGTTAAAACATGCAGCGTTCCAACAAGTTGAGCCTTGAAATGCAGGCACACACTCACAACTGCCACATTGTCCTCCAAGGTTGAAATGTTAAAGTCATGGAGCATCAGCACTGCTCTCACTCACACACTTGACACAAAAATTGGTGTGGAAGGGTTTCTAATTAAACAAAGTCAAACATCACATGCATAATTTACGGTTTTCAAAGATGCTTCCTTTCTTTTAACCTTTTTGTGAAAGATGTAGCAACAATCCCATTTTATGATGGACCTTTTAAGTATATCCAGCAGTTTTGAACTACAGGGGTAATACACTAAGGCAGGAGTAATCAGTTGCTTTTCACAGTCAGTAAGGAGGTGTTATTATATGTTCTGAGTTTTATATTAACCGTATTGAACTGTTTCATGAGAAGTAAGAGCATGTGGAAGGCTACATATGTGGCTGTGTGAGGAAGTGTCCGGGCCACAGAGTTAGACTGAACAAACGCTCTTACCTTCTCCAGCTGGTGTCAGGGGGCGGCGACAGGTACACTGAGCCGTACGGACAGCTATCAATGTGGTGCTTCAGGTCAAGAAAATCATCATCCCATGTAGTTTTATGACTTTTTTGTTAAATGCAAGAAGACAGAATAAAAATGGATATCTGCCTACACAGCAAATTCAAAAGTGTTAGATTTCCAGTTTAAGTGTTGTATGTTAAAAATACAGTGTTAATTCAACAACATGAGTGTTAGTTTCCCTAAAGAGTTAAATAAAAAGCAATCCAGTCCAGTGTTGATTTCTAAATTAACACCAACAGTAACTCAGTCTGGTGTTGATTTAGAAATCAATTCAGTTCAATTGTGGGACAGTTCCTCCCACAATTGTAACATATTTGTGACATCAGGGAAGGAGCTACAGGTGGTGCAAGGAATGCAGCAGTCCCCTGGCCTGGACCTACAGGGGGACCGCATGGGAAGCAGAACACACCTCTAGGAATCCAATTTTTCTATCATATCTGATCTGAGCTGTAAAAAAAAGAACACTCTCCTGCTGAAAACTGAGTAAGGACAGTTACTGACAGGACTGACTCCAGTAGCTTATATAGTAGAGTGCCCCATTGTTGACTCATGGTTGCTAAAAACCTTACCAGACTGACTGATTGTAGGGACATAGTGAGTGTAAAATATTGAATAAAATGTTGTGCCACATGACTGGTTTTATTTTCACTCTTATGACACACAAAACTACAAATGAATTGTCCTTATTGTCTCCAGGTGCACTCTGGGTAAAGTTTGTCACCAACGTCATCATCAGTCACTTGGCAACAAATGGCAAACAAGAGCATTTCTACGGACTACGTTAACATGTTTTGAATTTGTGTTGTTTCATCGTTGGTGACCAGTAGCCAGATGTTTCTGTTCTTCTCTTGGTTTGTTGTACTTCATGTCAGATGGATTTCAGAATGACTTAGTCGCTCTCTCTGGTGATGAAACTTGTTAGCTCTGCTGTTGCGGGCATGTCCATGTTGTGAAGTTAAATTATCATGAGCTTTATTATTTGGGCCCGGTCATTAGTCCCACCACCCGGCCGACGCCGTCTTGTTCCGCTACTGCGTCACATGTTTGCCTGAGGAGCGAAGGCAGCAGTATGGCGTCTTGTCTGGAGCTTATTACAACAAGGTAAGTTCCATGTTAAAATGATCATGTTTTTGACTATTTGTTATGGAGACATTCATTTTCTGTTCGCGTAACAGAACTATTTATATCGATTCGTATACATAGTTCGCTTAACGTACGTTTATTTGTTTGGATATCACAGTATATACGACTGTTTATTATCTTAACCGAACATTAAACTGTCAGGAAAATCTGGAGGCCATTTGAGTTAACATTATTTAGCTGCGGAGGTCGTTTTCTTAAGTTTTTGGCTGTAGACTGCAAAATGGGGGAGTGGCTGTGCTTGATCTATGTCACAGGTGTCAAACTCCAGTCCAGGAGGGCCACTGTCCTGCAACATTTAGATGTGCCGCTGCTGCACAACACCTGAATACAATAATTAGGACTCTGGAGAACTTATCTACACAATGAG